TGGTTAAGCAAATTCCGGAGGGGACAGCAAAAAAATATTTAATTTACCATATCTCAAAAAATCATCATCATAGCAAAAAACGGTTTCCGGCATTTTACTCCTCAAGTCAAGGCCTTTCCAATGACATAATCTTTACATCAGATTTTACAAAAAAATATAACACGTTTTGGTGACGTCATCAATTATGACGTCTTAATCTGACATTTTGTCACAACTTCTAAATTAAAATAAACTGGAGAACAAAGAAAGCTCATCTGCCAAACTTGGTTCAGAAATATATTAACCAACCAAATATAGCCTTCATGAAACATTAGGGGGGTGGTTTGGCCCCTAGGTGCCATGTTCTTGTACTTCAATTCAAGTAGTGGGCACAAAACGTTAGTCGACATAGAGATATAAAGGAAGTGAAAATAATGAGGGCTTCAATTGTTTTTCTCAGTTTCAGACTGCTGTTGTTACAATTATAAGCCGAAGTCAATGTAAGATAACTTGTACTGTATAACTGGAATAATCCGAAAGCCACATATGTCCTCAATACGGACACATCTTTAGCTGTTGTTGTTGCTGTTATCGTTGTTCTCGCTTCGAAAGCAAACAATCATTCTCAAAATAGCCTTGTACTCTCGTGTGAATTGTTTATTCGTGGCGCCATATACGAAAGGGTTGATGGTACTACTCAAATAACCCAAGTTTTCTGAACAGCACCGCGCTGGTTTCATAACACAGTAATATCGGCTAACTGCAATTAATCCCATGGTGCCCATGGAGATCATTCCAAATGTAATAATAATAATAATAATAATAATAATANAACTTACCATATCTCGAAAAATAATCATCATAGCAAAAAACGGTTTCCGGCATTTTACTCCTCAAGTCAAGGCCTTTCCAATGACATAATCTTTACATCAGATTTTACAAAAAATTATAGAACGTTTTGGTGACGTCATCAATTATGACGTCATAATCTGACATTGTGTCACAACTTCCAAATTAAAATCAACTGGAGAACAAAGAAAGCTCATCTGCCAAACTTGGTTCAGAAATATATAAACCAAGCAAATATAGCCTTCATGAAACATTAGGGCGGTGGTTTTGCCCCTACGTGATTCTGCATGCAACAGTTTCTCACCGTCGAGCATTTAGTCAGTTGGAATCATAGCCTTCGCCTTGCATGTTAGATTAGATTATGCTCAGTGTTTTGTTGGTCCACAGCAAAGCCCAAACCGGTATTCGGAATCGCGTACTATTTCTTAATAAAAAACTCTTAGAACATTTGAACGAGTCTTTACGTCAAAATTCTGTAATAATTTTATAGTTTCAATACTAGCCATAAATTTGAGGTCATGACCAAATTGTGCTCCGCTTCTTCTTTTACGAGAACCACATTACTCCACTCTAAATTTTACATTTGCTGAAGATCAACAGCTTTTCCATAACATAACAAAAATTAGCTGGATAGATTTGGATATAGCAGCGTTTAATGAATCCAAAGTTTCTTGCCACACACTTCCAAGGATTTCGCCGTAGAGTCTTTCGCGACGGCAAAGTAATACAATTTTGCGAGTTTGAGTTTCACCTGAATTGCAAGCAACACGTGATACCTCATCAAGGCATAAGAACTTTCGTCTGTAAATACTGCTCAGTTTTCTTTGTGTAAAAATCTAATTAATCGCTGGTTGTCGATGAAAAAGAGCGCCCGCCGATTCGTGTTTTGTAGCAAAACCACAGGTCACCCAAGCGTAATATAAAAGTTTGTATCTAGAACTGTGGCTAAAATATAAGAGTTTGTATGGAGATTAGAAGATGACATCGAATCAATCAATGTATGGGTAATTT